ATTGAGGGGCTGGGGATTTAGCTCAGTGGCATAAGCACCTGCCTTGCAAGCGCATGGCCATGAGTTTGATCCCAGGTATTAAAAAAAAACACACACAACTCCCCAGAACCCCTAAAAAACGAACACTGAAATACTATCTTGCTCCAGAAAGAAGAGCTATTTTAAGAAATCAAATAGTGTAGTAACAAATGCTGGGCAGGCTGTGGGGGAAAAGAAATATTTTACATTCCTTAGTAGGAATGTAAAGTAGTACAACCATTATGGAACTCAGTATGAAGATTCCTCAAAAAACATAAACTAGAAATTCTATTGTCTCTGCTGTTCTCCTTCTAGGTAACTTCTTGAGTTATAGACATCGTATTACAGTGATACATACATACTTGTGCTTATAGCAGCACAATTCATAATAGCTAAATCTTGAATACAGCCTATATATATATATATGTCAATAGATGAATGGGTAAAGGAAGTGTGGTATTTATACACCAAGGAGTACTACTCTGCAATAAAGAAAGATAAATCAATAATTTGTAGAAGATGCATGCATCTGGAGACCATAATGTTAAGTGAAATAAATACAGATGCAATAGTTGAAATATCACATAGTTTCTCTTATAGGATAAATATAAAATATAAATAAAGAGCAAAATAAATGATAGATAATAGAAAATAGAGTAATAGGTCTTTTGCAAAAGGAAAAGAGATGGAAAACAGAGGGGTCAGGGGGAGGAGAGAGGAATAAAAAAGAATTAAGATGTGTTATGTACATGTACCAATTCTCCATAAGGAATGGAGTCATTATATACTGAAAACAGGTACTAATAAAACAATTACAGTTTTGTAAAAATTACTTTAAAAAAAGAAAGAAGAGAAAAATCTGGAAATAAGGACAGGGCAGGTTGCACTTAATTTAGCAGATCACCTGAGGCTGAAACTTAGAGCTGCAGAAGGGTGGGTGACGGGGGACATAGCCGCTAAGAGGCAGGCCACAGGCACTGCTCTATTCCAGAAACACTAAGCAACCAGGTGAACAGTGCAAGTGGGTAGTGGGGCAAGAAGCAGAAGATTGGTTGAGAATGTATGTAGGGAACAGGTAATCTGCCAGATATCCTCTGCTCTCTTTCAAGCAATTGTCCTGGTCCCCATTAAAACACACAACAGCACTTCAGCTTATGGAGAGGTCAAATTGGAGAAGCTGGAGGTCCCGGACTGCAAGCACAAGGGTAGGGAGGAGACACTACACTACAACCAGAGAGGTTAAACTTGTAAAAGGGATCTCTGAGTGACAATGCGCTACCTCTCCTCCTTGCCTGCCTTCCGTTCCCTAGCTCAGAGGTGTAGTCACAAGATTTATACTGTAACCACCCCCTGGCCTCCTAACCTCACCCTTCCACAGCCATCACCTCTGAACAAATAATCTACCCCAACAGCTAGGAAACTGGAACTGAAGGACTGCTCTGCTGAGTGCTTACTCCGGAGGATAAACAGCTACAGATGCTGACATCTGGTGGATCCTCATTAAATACATCTTCACCTCTCTATCCCTCAGGGCAACAAGGTCTCCTACACACAAACACATTAGTATCTACATCTTACAATCAGCACTCTTAAGTATCAACAGCCAGCCACGGAGTGCTTATAATAATGTATCCTGAGGCAGAAGAAAAGAATCAGGAAAAATAAAGACAAGAAAGTAAAAAACTTTTAAAAAATGAAATACCATAGAGTCATGATATGATATTGCTTCCATCAAACTAGGATACTATTCTCTTTTATAAAGAGAAGTGCATTGAGAGAAGAAAAGAACGTGGTTAGAAAATGTATCATTCTGGGTATGCCCTCTAACAGAAATGTGTACAGAGGACAGAAACAAGTTGAGGGTAGGCAAGCAACAGAAAAAAAGAATGTGGGTCTTTAGAACTGGGGAACTGCCACTGCACCCCTAGCACTCCCTCCTGAGAGACTAAAGACAGAGTCAAAACAACTGGAAAAAACCTCTACCTTATTTAATACATGATTTTCAAGTTTTTTCCTACTTCCATCTTAACTATATGCTAATGCTTAATAATATATATAACCTGATAATAATATACAATACTGCATATGTGCTACCCCATAAATTTCCTCTAGATTCCTACAATATGAAACGAAAAACTATGTTCCAAGCTTATTATCTTGTTGTTTCTATTAACTATGCTGAAGTCGGTCTTACGCTAGCAAGACAGTGGAGTGTTAACAGTTCACATTTGAGGAGCACATATTAATCAAGCTCATCGTGTGTAAAGAAATGCAATGCTGAAGGCCCTATGGAACACAACCCCAGGTGTCCATGACACACTGCTTTCATTGTTCTCCATGCTTCAGAATTGCTCCGCCAAAGGCTTACCTTCGACTGCCCTGCAGTCTGGTTTTCTCCTGTTAAATTCATATTGGATGACTGATGTTCCGTATAATAAATATTTTATCTTTCTACACCTTTCTTCTAAGAAGAATATGCCTTTTTGATGGTGAGGCACTCTCAGGCACCTGGAGTCCAAAAACAGCTCTGAACCCTTTTGTCCAGAGTAAGCACTGCAGCTTCTAAATGTTTTTACCTTGCTATAACACATCTACTAAACTATGCTATTCAATTATCTAAATAAAAATTTACCTTCATAAATATACTAGAAACCCTACAGACAGCTGAATAATTGAGTAAAACTAATCAATATTAGTAACTGCTTGGCTTAACACTATTACCTACATTATACACTATGTTTATTCTGGTAATGTCTAAAAATTTCACAATAAGTAAAAATTTCACAAAATGCTGCAGGAAAACTGTTCAGATAGAGAAGGAGTTGATGTAATTAATTCTTGAATAATTTTATTATGACATCTGGTACAACTAACTAATCAAGTCAGTAATTGACCCATTTATCACTACTCCTTTCTCTCAAGCTTTTCCTGATGACTGATAAGGGGTACATGTAGCTAAGATTGCGGGTAATGACAGCAAGCATTTTTGTATAGAAAAAAATAAGAAAAAGGAAGGCTAACACATGCCATGCCGCAAAAGTAAAGTAGGACTCTAAAGAAATGGCCTTATTGGCCCACCTATTTCTACCTTTCAGAATCAATTTTACTCTATACTAAATTTACATCATCTGTGTAGCCAAGTACTTTGGTATAGCTCCAAGCTTTGCAATATAACTGATCAAACTTCTCACTTGGCAATGGTCAATCAAAAGTAAATAATTCTATTTATATACAGTTATAACACTATGAGAGCCAGCCTCTCTAATTAACCAAAATGTGGAACCCCTTAATTTGTTTCCATGCATGACGAGAATAACCAGTTTACTGGACAACACTTCCATCTTTAAAAAATCACAGCATCACTTACTGCTAATGAATGAAAAAGAAATTAATGGATAATAGAATACTAATCCTGAATTCTAGAAACATCTTCAAATTTGCACTGAAATTCCCATCTCAGTATTCTTGGCACTTACGTTCTATATATTTTTTTAACTTAAAAGGTCTTAAAGATGAAAACAGGTAGCAGCTATGGTAGAGAAAGCTACCGCTTTTCTTGTGTAAGCTACCTAGCTGAGGTTAATGGATAGTGTTTCTACTGAAAGGCTTGATAATCACATCCTCCAGCCCAATCATCACACACACAGAAATAAACATAAACATAAATAAAAATCAATGGAGAGGCCCACAGCTTAAAATTTACATTGCGACAGGTCCTTCTCGAGGAACAAGGATCACTGGTCTGTCTGACAGAAGTAATACAACCTGCCAGATCAACGCGTGGTACTCAGTAAACTTGCTATTGCCAAAAGTGACACCACTACTCCACCAGAGCCTGGCCAGTACAGGTTCTATGCAGCCTTCTTCATAGACCCTTCCACTAGCTTGTCTTCCTTCTACCTGTTTTGTTAAGTGGCTAGGCAGTATTTCTCAATTTTGGGCTTTCCTCAAAGAAAAGCAGTGAAGTAAGGAAATTTGCTCATATAACAAGTATACTCTTCATGTCCATTAATATATGTGTACCTGAAGAGGGTTAAGAGTTACTGTGAGACACACACCCAAGGTTCAAAAAGCATGCTAGTCAGATGTGGTGGCACATGCCTATAATCCCAGCATTTAGGAGGCTGAGACAGGTGAATGGTTGTGAGTTCGAGACCAGCCTGGGCTACAAAGTGAGTGCAAGGCTGGCCTGAACTGCACAGTGAGACCTTGCCTCAAAAAGACAAAAAGGGAAGAAGAAGAAAGAAAAAGTGGAATAAATGAAGTTATAACAGGTCTATCATGCAAAGTTTTGCACCTTCGTATTATGGTGCACTGTTTTGATCACTAACAAAAACTTCAACATACACAATTAAAAAGTTATACACTCTATTCCTGTATCGCTTTCTAAAAAAGGATATATGAGTGTTAGATTTGAAAACAGCACAGAAAACCTAGAAAGCAACCAAGCACACACACAAAAACAACAAAAGTCAAATGACAGCAACAACAAAATAGTGATAAAGGGTTTCAAAGTAAGATGATAGGAATTTAACAATGGTGGTTACATTACATATTGTTATCTTCAAATTAGTTGCTCAGGTTACCAGATGCAGGCATACAAAATTGATCAAACGATATGATTTCCCTTTGAGCAGTTTCTTTCCCTTTTACTATGTCTATTGTAAATTTTGGATTTTATTTACTTTCAGTTTCTTATACTAGGGAGAAAATCTGGTGTTTAACAGGTGAGTTTGACTTATTTCACTATGATTTATTTCACTTAGGTCTCTAGTTGCATCCATTTACCTAAAAACATTCAACATCACTGGTCATTTGAGAAATGCAAATTAAAAAATACCAACTTTTAAAAAGATTGTTAAATCAACAGAAGTTAGGCATTTTAACAAAGTCTCATGTCTAATCTCAATTTATCTGAAATGTACAAACAAATATAAATCACATTATGTAACTTTATTGTGGTAGACAATGAAAACTCTCACCTTCTCGATGTTTATCTGGTGCCTTCGCAACCTCTCCAGATCTGTTGGGATTACTATCTTAGTGAACTTCTGGATAGCTGGTTCAAGGCGGCGTAACTTCACTTTTTCATCATCTTCAAACATCCTAAAAAATATTCTGTCACTTCTGCTTCCAAAAACTGTCTTCTCTGCTCATACAAAAAACCTAAAAGGAAAATACTTCTTTCAGAATGTTTTTGAAATCAGTTTCCATTATTTTTAAGTCATCAATTAGGTAGATTTACGACTTATTCTAAATATATATTCAACATAATGCTGAACTTCCGTGGTTTGATTTTCTTTATGAAACCATGTATTTCAAAATCCTTTTCTCTTGTAGAACATTTAGAAAATATAAATAAATGAAGACAATAAAAATAACAATGAAGTCCTCATCTTAGATACTGTTTTACGTTTTCATATATGCCACTGGGCCTTTCTCTATGTAAGTATGTAAACATTTTTTTAATTAGGAGTATACAGTTGAAGTTTTTATTTCTTCATCTATATTGGACATCGAATAACTTTCTGTCCCTATTCTACCAGCAGTTGCGTGTGTGTGCATGTTATTGGTGAGTGAATCTAAGATCTTCACACTGAGCTACATTCCTAGCCCTTCGTGTACTTTTTACTATGAGACAGGTTAAACTGTCCAGGTTGAGCCTAAACTTGGACACAAAAGTAGACGATTCAAAGTAAAGGGGCAAAGGGAGGAAGAAGAAAAGAAGAAGGGGTAATTGGGGGGAAATTATCAAAATATGTTTTATAAATGTATGAATATGCCAAGATGAAACCCACTAGTGTGTATAACTAATATGTAGTAATTTTTAAAACCACAACTTTAAATGTCCTATTTTTTCCTTTCACAGATGAAAATCTTCAAGTGCTGGTCATAAAGACTGCCTTCACTATCTATGCACTAATAACTTGGTTCTTAGATACATACATAGAGAAAGAATATTTCCAGGCACCTAAAACAGTGGGTAGCGAATGGAAGCAGAGCTTGTCTACAGAACCAGTAAGACAGGAAAATTCATGGCTAAGGGGTAGAGCTAAGAGTACTCTAAAAAGAACATCACATAAATCTATTTTTAAATATCCAAAGATAAAAAGGAAAGAATATACTCTGAAAACTTAGATGCCATTATGAAACAATCTGGATATAAACCAAATAAACATCTAGAATTAAAACCTCAAACAATAGTTTAAACCCTAAACTATACAGCTAAAAAAAAAAAAAGAAAACTGACTAGAAGATATCAATCAGAACACAGAGAAATAAAAAGATAAAAAACATTAAATATATGAGATATAAAGGATAAAAGTAATGAACTGAATGACAAATAGGAAAGAATAAAGAAATGCTGAAAAGAAATTACTCAGAGACTGCTGAGAATTAAACCACTTTTTAAAATCTCAAATTGAAAGCGCACACATGCCCCAAGCATAAGTAAAAAACAACAACTAAAAGCATGGAAAAAAAATTACAGATCCTCAAGGACAAAGAAAAAACATTACAAGGCAAACCAGAGATAAAAGGTAAACTGGATGTGGTGGTCCATACCTATAATCCCAGCACTCAGGAGGCTGAGACAGCAGGATCTAGAGGCTGTTTGAACTACAGGAAACCTTGTCTCAAGAGAAAAAAAAGTAAGATACATGAGCAGGGTGGAGTGGGGTGGGGTGGGATGGACGTACACACCTATAATCCCAGCTAACACTCGGGGAAGCTGAGACAGGAGAATCACATGGCAATTTAACAACTATGGGCAACTTTGTGGGGGAAGTTGGGGAGGCAGCTCAGAGTGAAGGTCTTGGGTTCAGTCTACCACACAGCAAAACAAAACAAAAAATACCAGATACAGGAAAACAACAAAAGCAGGAAACTTTTCATCAAAACAGTACATCAAAAGGTAGGAACAGCTTCAAAGTGCTGAGGACTTAGTAAAAACCTAAAGTAAATTATCATTTACAGGGAAGGTAAAATAGAGACTGGGGATTTAGCTCAGCAGTGTAAGTGCCTTGCTGGCAAAGGAAGGTAAAATAATCATTTTCAGACATATGAAAACTGAGAGTTGATTACCAAGTCCCTCATTAAAAAAAAAAAAACTACTAAAAGACATATTTTAATAACAAAGAAAATAAACCCAAAAGGGTAGAATGGTAAAGGACTTACTTTTAATAATGATTAAATATTTAAAAAAGGGTTTCCATGTAATAATTTCTATTTAAAATATTTTCTAGCAGCACAGTATTACATTATGCATATATTTCATAATTTAATCATATATTTTTGGCTATTAAGGGTGATCCTAATTTTCCAATATTATAAACTCTAGTGCAATTACTGAGGCAGGAGGATCTCCACAAGTTCAAGTCCAGCCTGAACTGCATAGTGAAACCCTATGTCAAAAAGAAAAAAAAAAAAAAAATATATATATATATATATATATATATATATATATCATGTTTGGAAACAAAATGCTCTTAGCAGTGGATAAACTGCTCAAGCATTTGTAAATTTTTATGGGAAGATACTAATCCAATATTGAAACATAGAAGTGTGACTGAATAATGAGTAAAAATATAGCCTGAAGGGCCAGGGATTTAGCTCAGTGGCATAGGTACCTACCTGGCAAGCAAAAGGCCATGAGTCCAATTCCCAGTACCAAAAAACAAACAAACAAACAACAACAACAAAAAAAACCAGTTTGGAATTTCTAGATTTTTCAGTCATAAAATTTAAACATATTTCTGATATAAAATGATATAATTAAAAAATGAGGAAAATGAATTTACATTAAGAGCTCACCTGTGTAAAATTCCTCAAAAAGACAAAGCAAAATATATACAAATGTTTAATTTCCCTAATTCGCATGAAATTACATTTCATATTTAAAAAGTATGATAAAATATTTGGTATGTGGAATTATTCTCCTTATGACTCTTATTATTCTTAGGACTCTAGTGCCATTTACACAACCATATGCACTTGTCAAACCCTACGTATAACTATATACCACAAAGAGGGGATGCTGCTATAAAGTTTTTAAAAACACGATTACAGGAAGCCTAAAATGAAATATAAACTATCAAAAACAAGATTCGCCTTACTATAAAGACTAGTATAACAGCATAGAAATAAGTGAAGACAGAAAATAGTATTTTCACTACACACTAAGTTTAAAGACAAAACTTCTGCACCCCATACCAGCATTGTATGTTTCTCTCAGGGGTATATGTTAGAAGTCACAAAATTACTTTCAGTGTGTATGAGCACTGAGCAAATAAATATTTTACAGAATACAAGTGCCAGTTTTGCACTATCAGAGTTACATATAAGAGATAAAACTAGGATGAATCCAGAGGTGTAAGAATAGAATCAGTTACTGGGCTAAATATCTATGTTTTAAAAATACACAGGTAAGTTCAAAAATAGAGATCTTATTGTACGCATGGATGTGTACACACATATACAGATGCCTTCTACAATGACAACCCACTAGTAGTGAGCACACCAACAGCACAGATCTTGATGTCTAAATACCCTTCTCCAAAAACAGAAATCAGAGGTCCTTGAAGAAGTGGCTGATTCCAGGTCTGGGGCAGGAAAAAAAAAACAGGGTTTGAGGAATCTTACAACGCCAGGAAGATAGTTCTCTAAAAAGGAGAAGCGTGTCAGAAGGTACAAAAAGCAACCTGAAAAAAATTCCCAATCATCCAGCCTCTGTCAATTTGAGGCATAAAATGAATAATAAAATAAAAAAATAACTATATGAGTCCATACGTCTACAATAGAATACAAATAATAAATGGGGGAAATGGACAACTCTCCCTTACAGAAGAATTACAATTGATAAATACAGAAGGAATGAGGGAAACAGAAAATCACAATTAGAACACAAATTATTAATTACTGAAGGCAAGATCCAACAATGGATGCTGAATTTATGATGGTAAAGTTTGAAGAGACATGATGTTTGCTTAGTTTAAAACTTTGAAGGGACACGATATTTGCTCAGTTTAAACGTTTCTTCCTAAATATGAACTCGGGAAAAATTGTACTTTTGCATTGGAGTATCCCAGCAGACACTGACTTAACCAAGGGATCAAGATTAACCTCACAAGCAGCAAGTCATTATCATGCACCCTGATGGGATCAACTGAAAAGACAGGCACACTTTTGTGGCATTAACAAAAACGCATAACCTTAATCATGATAAATTACCATTTGGACTCTTCAAAAGTGCAAAAATCATGAAAGACGGGAAAATACTGAGGAACTATCACAAAGTGGAAGACATGATGTAGCCGAGACAACTAAACGCAATGTGATGATCTTACATTGGATCCTAAAAAACAAAAAGGTCATTCCAAATAAATAAAACAAAATTTAAAAATGCTCAGTATTGTTCTGATAAATTTCTTGCTTTTGATAACTGCATAATGGCATGGTCAATGTTAACCTTAACAGAAGTGAGAATTCAATGCTTTTTAAAAGCTTTTCAGTAATCGTAAATATATTTCAATGTAAAGTTTTTATGATGTACAAGAATTAAAGTTTCACCAGGTGTGGTAGCACACGTTTGTGATCCCAGCACTTGGGAAATTGAGGCAGAATCGCTGTGAGTTAAGAGCCCGGGCTGGGCTACACAGTGAGTTCAAGGCCAGCCTAAACTACATAGGGAGACCTTGTCTCAACATCCCCCTCCAAACGAATTACAGAAGACAGAAACATTTAGAAGTGATAAAACTACAATCATTTGCATTACACTACTATTGCAAGAAGAGTTGCCGCAAGGGTGCCAGGTACTTTACAAACGTCGTCATTTAGCGCTTTACAACTAATCTGAGATGAGTACATGTTCCTGATTTGGGATGGGGTGTACTCGTGGTTCAGAAAATAAGTGCAAAGTCCTATTTCTATTTCCCAGAAAAAGTCCAAAGTCGCTGGCACCACCTCAAAGAAACACCCAGGGGTGCCATGTGTGGGCATGCTGGTGGCATTTCCTCGGGCTCATCTTTTATGTTTCAGGCTAATGCAAGGGAAGAAAATCTGGAGAGGAAAAGTCCGTGGTCCCACCGTGTGGTCTCCTCTGCGCCTCGCACACCTGAAAGGCTGGAGCCAGGTGTCAAACTGGGAGGCACCTCTCGGTCTGGCTGGCCGGAGGGAGGCTGTGGCCTCGGGCTCCGGGGTCCCCTTTGTACCTCCGAGAGTCGCGTCAGCCCTCTCAGTGTCTCCAGTGGCACACCTGGGCCACACACACCAAACGCTGTCTCACCCACAACAGCTGGGCAGGCAGGCCCGGGACAGACACCCAATGTCCTGGGGCCCCCAGTGCGCCGGCCCCGCGGAGGCGCCGGAAACTTTTCCACCCGGAACCCGGGAAGCCACCACTCTAGCCCGGTCCGCGGCCTCCCCGCACCCGCTTGGAAAAGCTCTTCCAAAACTGAAACCGACCAGGGCTCTGCCAGTTTTGGTCTGGAAGAAGCCCCCACAGGGCTCACACCTCCGCGCCAAGGCACGGTTAACACCTCTCCCTACTAGGGGTTGGCACCCGGGCCCAGGTGCCCGTCGGGGTCCGACGTCCCCAGCAGCCTCTCACTAGCCCCTTACCTCCCGCCGGGGCGCTCGAGGCCGGTTGGTCACCACCGCGCAGGCGCAGAGAAAAGGAGGCGGGGCGTCCCCAGGGGCGGGGCGTCTCCAGGGCAAGGTAGAGGGTTGGCTCCGCCCCCTCCGAGCCCTGAGACCAGAAGTGGGTGGTGCTTGGATGGTGAGTGCCTAAGCAGAGAAAACTCTAAAATTCAGTGTGGAGTTGTAACCCTAAAACCGGATGGAAAAAAAGCACAAGCGGTTTTGAGTATTTTTGCGTTTTAAAACCACTTACATTTGTAATGCCCCCTGCAGGTTTCCTGCATATTTTCCTTTGTTCTTATTAGAATTCTTTTTGTAGACTATTGTCTGTAGAAAATGAACTCTTTACATGTGTAGAAACTGAAATTCAGAAATGTTGTACCTTATTCCTCTCATCTCCAAAGCCCCGTGAGGCAAACAGTACAGGAGTGTATATCTTAACTGGAACAAGCACAGAAATGGAAATTCAAACTGTCATATGTCTTTAGAAACTGGTGGAGTGCTTAATGCAGATGTTCTTATTCCAGTTTTATAGGTAATGACTTTGAAGTTCAACAAGGAATGTTAAGTACTCACACCAGTTCAGCCTGTTTGTGACAGAGCAGGATCTCACTGCTGATTTTCGTAACTTCCAAGTTATTCCAGTTAGACCAGCTGCCACCATCACAACAAGCAGATGGCTGGCTTTGAAGCCCTGTGCAGGTCACTGGTCCCCTTCTCTGGGTGATGTAACTTCCCAGATGTAGATCTTTATAAAATATATATATTCAGATAACTTGCTTAGAATGTATCCACTTATAGTATTGCCTTTGGAAGTCATAAAATGTTCAAACCATCTGTATGAAATTCAGTTTTTAAACTTTTACAGTGGAATGGGAGAGGAGGTGGCAGTTGTGGATGATGATTCCCCAGCCCTATGAAGTTCTTGAAAGTCAGTTTCTAAAGTAAAGCCATTTCTAAAAATTTGCTAAGTAATTTGGATTTTCTTTGACAGCAAACCAGATGATGACGTTTGTTTATGTTGCAACTGGCCCTACGAATGAGGTGTTTATCAAACTTTCATTCTAAGGAGAAAAACTGAAGTATTAGTCATCACATGGGAAAATGTTTTTATTTAAGACTTAAACAATGCCTTTTGCTTTCTTTTTGTTTTGTTTTTCCTTTGGTACAGGGGATTGAATTTACAATCTCATGCTTGACAGGTACGCACTTACACTGCTGAGCTAAATGCCCAGCTCAGTAATATCTTGAAGTAAAAGTATTGGTGTTCAATTCTGAAAACAAGTACTAAAATACAATTAAGAGACATACTTAAAAATTTTAAATATGAACCTGACTTTCTCATTATATATATGTTTGTTATAAGTTAGGACACCATGTAAGAAGTTAACTTTTCACCTGGATGGCCTGATTTAAAATATATAAATATTTAAACATATAGTGTGTGAATCTTTGTTTTTTTCTCTCCTCCTGGACCATAAAGTTGGGAGGGGCAAGCCTACTAGGCAATGTTTCCCTGAGATCCTCAGAACTCAATGAGGCCAACCAAAACACTACATATACATTTTTAAAGAAAATGCAAAAAAATATTTTCTGGAATTATGATTGCTTTCTTGAAAAATTTATGGGAATTAATTAAAGTAGTTCAATAAGGTGTTACAAGAAACACTTTTCCTAAATAGCAATCACAAATTTGAAAATGTAGTGGGAGAAAAAGATCACATTCAAAAATAACAAAAATAATCCCCTAGACACACAGGAATTTAGTTCCCTGTGTGTCTAGGGAATTATAAGACCTTTTTGGAAAACTGAGAAGCCAAATGGTGCATGGGGGTGGAGAGAAGTATTACAAAGAGAATGGAGGAAATCCTGAGGGCAATCCCAAAAGTAAATTCTATAGTCATTCCCATTTTATAGACTAAAAAATTGAGGCTTGAGGTCAAGATTTCACTTAGTAACAGGAATAGCACACAAATCTTATCTAAGAACAAAATCTGTGCTTCGGACCTCAACTTTCTACTTCATACGAAGACTCCCATGTATAGAAAAATAATGCACTATTTTCTTGGAAGAAAAAAACCTCAATATTGTAAAGTCGTAAATTTTCCTCAAATTAATTTTACAAGTTATCCATAGCTTCATCAAAATTCCATTATGATTTCTATAATAAAATATTTTTTAAAAACTGTTACCCTCTCTTCTTAGAATACCATTTTTGCTTATTTTCCCTATTTTCTCTTCCCTCACTCATAGAGCAAAGAAATTACTCTCCATTCTTTAAGACTGAATTTAAAAATTGTCTCTAGGCAACTTTCTTCAACCTCTGAAGTCTATGCTTAATAACCTCTTATATGCTAATATACTGTTATGACTTTCATCTAGATATCCCCCCAAGGCTTCATGTAGTCATGGTGGGGGCAGGCTTTTCAGAGGTGGCTGAATTAACATTTGTGATTGACTCACTGTCCAATGCTGGATTAAGGGTATGAGTGTCACACCTATCCTCGGGGTCTGCATGCAATATTAGGGACAGAAAGAGTTCTGTCTCTTCTTGCTGCTTTTGCTGTCCTCCTCCATCGTGAACTCTGGCCCCTTTGCCATGTGCCACCCTGACTTGGAACCAGCTGATTATGAACTGAAACCTCTACAAACTGAGCTAAATAAACTTTTCCTTTTTTGACTTTGGGTGTTGGATGTGTTGTCTCAGCAACAAGAAAAGTAACTAAGACTTACACGGTTGGGGCTGGGGATTTAGCTCACTGACATAAGAACCTGCCTTGCAAGCAGGTGGTTGTGAGTTTGATCCCCAGTACCGATGATAAAAAGAAAAAAGACTTACACTATTTTTTTTTTTTTTTGTCTTTTTGCTTTTTATCGGTACCGGGGATCGAACTCACAACTGCCTGCTTGCAAGGCAGGCACTTATGCCACTGAGCTAAATCCCCAGCCCAAGACTTACACTATTGTAATCTACACTTATCCTATTGGTAGTACTTACCATATTTAGTAAATTTCTCATCTTTTTGTCTGTCTTCCAATAGATTCTCAATTTCTTGAGGAAAAATATATATATAATTACTTACTTAGAACCTAGCACAGTTCCATGACTATGCTAACTAAACAATATATATTTGCCACATGAATTAAGTAATAATTTTTCTAGTATTGTAGAGAAGAGACTGCGACCAACCTTAATTTGGCCGCAATTATCATCCCAGTCTTTTTTCTGGGAACCACTTTTCCCCTCCAGATCCGCTGGAGTTAGATATAGGCAGGCAGATAGGGCTGGTCCCTTGAAGGAGCCAGTGCAGAAGATCAGATATCTTGCAATCTTGGAGGAAATAGATATCTCCCAGTGGGCCAGTTTGACCTCAAGACAAAGGACAAAACAAATACAACCACACCCTAAGAATAAACCTTAGGGATTGATATTCCAACTAGGTATGGATTACCTTGAGGAAGTCAGGAGTCACTGTTACAACCCTGTACAGCCAAAGGTCCTGTTTTTGTATTCATGCCTGTTTGCTATGTGACTGGCCTCCCCATTTGATCCCAATTTAATCAATTTTGCTTGAGTAATTACACTTGTAGTCTTACTGGTTGATCATAATTCTGTCCCACCTCATGCCCACCTTCCTTGCGAGTTCCCATGTTTTCCCCGCTTTAGATGTGCCTCACCTTGTGGTTTTGCTCTATAAAAGTCCCTAGAAAAGACAGTCTTTGGCAATGCACTGTCTCTCTTGGACAGAAGCTTGCTTTGTCTCAATAAATATATTCTGCTTTTAATCTCCATTGTTCCTAAAATTCATTCTTCAATTTTAGAGAATTCGAACTCATACCAGACACATAGTAGTCTGGAAATTTCTTTCCTCTATATCAATCTGAACACCAACAATTATGAGCCTCTGGCAACCATTATGTCTAAGCATAAACTTTAGTTTTCTTAGCAGAGTGTTTTGGTCCAGGAGCAGACCCTTGATTCAAACTAAAAGATATGTTTCTCAGTATTTGGGACTAGAAGTGAGATGCTACTTTCAGTCTGGCTGATTTCTTGAAGAGAGAGATTGCTG